TCATGCCTACAATGTTTTCCATAGCATGGCATCTCAGTGAAGTGGAAGGCATATGACAATTTGGCTTTTTTGGCTATGGCGTCCTCAATCAAAAGCACGGAGTGACATTCCTTTCCTGCACTGCCTGGCATGCAATGTGCAATATGTCAAAAAACATTGCTGCCCCTTCCATATCGTGTATTGTTTTCTTCCACAAGCTATTAAATACAGTGGAAGATATTTCATATTTAGATTGGTCACAGGCAGTGAGTAAATAGTTTTGCTAATTTAACAATGTGCTTATTGTGGGCACATTCTGTGCTCCAGTAAAGCCTTTTGCATGAAATCACCCATGGGAAATAGCCCTAAGCACAGTGGAACCTGGAAAACTTAGCTTCGAGCAGGGGAACTCTTGAATTACGTGGTTCTGGTGTATTTATGTCTGTGTCCCCTTACAGTCAGCCATCCCTAGCTGTCACCCTGGCCCCTGGAGACTGCTGGAAACTGACACACTGAGGTGGAGCAGCACTTCGATTGTTCTATGTCAAGGTATTGGCCAAAACAGTCCTGGCTGGCAGAGCCCAAGGCTGCTGTAGGTCACTTTCCAATGCATCATTCTTCTGTACATGCTTTGTGTGCTCTGGGTTAAAGCTGTGGCTCTGAGCCATTTTCCAGACTCCACTTATTCCTGCTTCATGTTCTCAAATAAAGGATCTATGATTTCAGGTAAGCTATTTTCATAAGTGAGGTGAGCATGATTATGCTTTTTGTTTCTTTACTGAAAACAAATATTGCATCTGAACTACAAGTCAAGTCCAACACAGCATCGCATAGCCATAGCACGTCAATTAGTTTTGGTTCCTCTGTTTCAATCTTTCATCTAGATGACAAATATATAAAACCCTCTTTTGGATGACGATGGTTAGGTGTCCAACAGGACCACTATGTTTTATTTATTCTGATAAGCATTTCAAGTAAACTGTTGTCACCAGGTGCCCAGCTGTGATCCTGTTACTGGGTACCAGTTTCAGACACGTGTGATGTGTGCATTTCTCTACCTCACATGGGGGAGAGGGGTAACTGTAACAGAGAAGCACTTTAGCATGAAGAATGCTGGTTTATATCCACTGGGATTGGATTATACTACTTTTTAATATTACACTTTTACAGCTAGAGAGTGACAGGAAGCTCTCTGGCAGGTATCTTTCAAAGCTGTGACATTGCTGCTTTCTTTAATGAGATCACTTTCCATGGTTTTTTTTTCCACAGCACTTGTTTTTTACTTAAGTACTTACACTGTATGTGCTGCATTGCTGGATCACTCTAAAAGGACAGAGAGAGAAGCCATATCTAGTATTTATTCAGCCTGCACTTCACCTAGCAATCTCCATCTGATGCTCAGATCAGTTCTAACTTTAAGGGCGAAATCAGAACACTATGAACAGATGCACAGCTTTCCTTCTGCAACTGAAATAATAGATAATGACTTTACTAATATGTCAGCCATTAATGATGCTGCTGAAATCTGCCATTTGCTTTAGTCAGTTTGCTTTAATTCCCCAGTTTTCCTCTTTCCTTCCCTGATTTCTCAAACCTTATCTTTCTGATGAAACAGATGTCAGCTGTACTGCAGCTGGGCATGCAGAAATCCTGAAGTGTTTCATGAACGGTATAGGTTCATCTTGTTATGCTCTTCCCTTTGCTATCACAGATGGCTGTTGGCTTTCTAAACATGTCAGAGGTTTAGAAAATAAAGACAAATCACCTCAATGCAGCTATGAATGCACTAGGTGAACTACCCCTAAATGTTTAAAGCCGCTTCATTTTCTTAGTTATAATGGCTTTTCCATGACAGATGTATCTAATTCCTAGAGAAAGCAATGTTATGCAAGTTAGATGATAATGAATTTCTTAGACAATATCAGAAGAAAAGGATAAATGTGAAGGTAGGTCTTAAGGGATGCAAAAATAATTTTATTGTGATTATCTCTTAATGCAGATAAAGCTACTACATTTTCTTTTTACTGTGCCTTTGATGATGAAAGCAAGAGGAAAAGAATACCACTACCATCAAGTCAGTGAGGCACTGTGATATGACTCAGTGCCTGGAGCTGACTCCAAGTACCCACACTGTTGATCCTACCATTTGTCACTTCTGCATAAGTCAGTGCCTAGAAGTCACAACATGCAGAAGCTGACAAAGAGCTGATCATCAGGGTGCAACACGAACAGTTCACTGGAAAGCTAAAATATGAAGACTTGCTGTAGGCATGGAAGTCCTTAATAGAGAAGATTATGTAAATTCTCTCACAGAGCAATGAATTTAAATCCTGTCAAAAGAACTGACTTGTACCCTTTTCTATATAATACAAATCATAGAATCATAAAATCATAGGTTAGTTTGGGTTGGAAGGGATCTTAGAGATCATCACGTTCCAACCCCCCTGTCATGGGCAGAAGCAACTTTCACTAGACCAGGTTGATCAAGGCCCTGTCCAACCTGGCCTTGAATACTTCCACAGATGGGGCAGCCACAGCGTCTCTGGACAACCTGTGTCAGTGTCTCACCACCCTCACAGTAAAAAACTTCCTAATATCTAATTTAAATCTATGCTATTTCAGTTTAAATCCATTACCCTTTGATCTCTCACTACATGCTGTTGCAAAAAGTCCTTCTCTGTATTTCTTGTAGACCCCCTTTAGGTAGCAGAAGCTGCTGTTCTCCCCAGAGATCTTCTCCAGGCTGAACAAGCCCAGCTCTCTCAGCTTCTCTTCACAGGAGAGGTGCTCCAGCCCTCTGAGCAGCTTTGTGACCTCCTCTGGACTCACTCCAACAAGTCCACATCCTTCTTATGTTGGTGGCCCAGAGCTGAATGCAGTAATCCAGGTGGGATCTCACATAGCAGAAGGGGGAACAATCCCTTCCCTCAACCTGCTGGACACACTGCTTTTGATCCAGCCCATCACACAGTTGATTTCTTGAGCTGCAAGCGTACATTGCTGGCCCTTATTGAGCTTCTTCATATCCTTTACCTCCATAAACGGCTCCAATAAGCACTGTTTTTATATAGGAAGTCGATGAGAAGTGCCCCTGAGCCTTCAATAAACAAGCCTACTAAAGCTGTCTGTTTATATAGTCAGAAAATGAGCTGGTCCAATTAGAATTTCATGAGCTCACAAATGCTTTTTCCTAGGAAGATGAAGTAGAAACCATTTCAAAAGGATTAATGTCTAAACTTTCTGAATTAAAATTGTAATAGGTGTCAATTTTACATGCTTGTCCTTGCAACAAATTATCCATTTGATTGATGACAGTAAAAGATAGTATTTTCTTTAGTTTTAGAGTTCTCTTTTGGAAGTGAAAAGCTGTGATTTTTCCATACAACTGTACTTAAATCACCTCCTACTATTTTCTTAATTGAGCTCTGCCTAAGGAAGATGTGAGGAACTACATTTTTTGAAGGACACTTTGCTAATGAGTTCATCTTTATATGTTTAAAGATGGCAAGAGGAACTCCTCTTATAAGTTGCTATGGTTTACTGAGTTTCACTCTGATCTATCTTCTCTATGTAAAGATATTATATACATGCTTACATAAATCTTCTCAGGTGCAGGTTTCTAAGTAAGAGGTCTTGTCCTACCTTTCTCTCAAAGGGGGGATGTCTGCTTATGATTAACCTCAGAGCAAAACAGATTGACTAACAACATTTAATGAAATCATGTACTTACCCTTAAGTCTGTATAGTTAGTTATTAGCTTCATTATATAGGTAACCTAGAAGGGGAACTTTTATCCTCCAGATTCTTGGAGACATGAAATATGACCAAACTACACTTAGTCTCTGTATGTTGCAGTTTCTCAATCTTTTCCCTGCATCTCACCAATACAAAGTGTTTACAACTTCTCAAAGCTGCAAGTTTATTTTGCTACTTTCCAGTGCTGATGTGTACAAGGAACATTTGAGCGAGTTTGCTGCAACTGTGTTGAAAATCTCCATTGTCCATGATACTTCTTGGCTGACTCCCAAATATTTAGCTTAGGATATTATTTAGCTCGAGGTATCCAGTTTGAGGTAGCATTTAGCTAGAGGTAGATAGAGTTGCCGCAGTCATAACAGAGACTGACAAAGCCAAGGGAGACTGTAGGAAAGCTGGCATTTGAAAGAAAAGCTTTAGTATTCAACGGAAATGTACAGACAATGCCAACTAACACAACCATACCAATAGCTCCATCATCTGAAAAACTTTTCCTGACTGAAATGTCACCTGCTAAGTTGCCTGACATGAGAAACACGCTTGGTGTAAGGCTCCCTGTGCAAAAAAAAAGAATCGACTGGACAATGTCAAACCCGAATTTGACTGGAAAGCCTTCATTCCATCAGGAATGGCCTGAGTTGAGGCTGTCAGAGGCTAGCTCTGTGTAACAGCATGGTTTTGCAGGCTATGAGGCATGCTTTCAGGCAGACAGTGTCTTCCGGCGCTGTTAAACAGAGTACTTGCGAGCGCAGTGATGCCGCAGCCCTGGAGCCCACCTAGCCTGTGAGCTCGCCCAGGACCATCGGCGAGCACTTCTCGCGTGGAGCACTGCCCGCAGACGGGGAAAACCTGGCGGGCAGAGCCGGGCTGGGTGCTGCGTTCCGCCTGGCTGGCTTCCCGTGCTTGTGCAGCCGCCCTCCGCCCCAGCCCGGCTCCACGTCCATTGCTGCCTCAGGCCCAGCACCGCCGCCCGTCCGCTCCTGGTGCACCCTTCCCGCTGCCGGGGCCGGGAGTGCCCTTGTGCGGGGTGTGAAGGCGGCTGCTGTGCCCCCTGACATCCCTCTGCCCCGTCCCTGGGGCAGGAAACGTTCCTTCCCGTCTACAGCCCTACCCGCCCCGCAGCCGCCCGGCGCCGCCCTGCCCCTGCCCACCCCTCAGGGGAGGACGCGAAGCCGCAGAGCCTTATAAAAAGCCCCCCGAGGCGGGCGGCAGGAGCGCACCGCGCTGCCGGGGCCGCTGCCGAGCGTAAGGGACGGGACGGGGTGGAGCGCGGGCAGCGGCACCATGGCCCAGGCCGTGTGGGGCTACGACAGCGACAACGGTGAGTTGAGGGCGCGGGGCCGCCGGGCCGGGCTGAGCGAGGGAGAGAGACATTTCCCTGCCTTCCTCCGCAGGACCCGAGCGCTGGCATGAAAACTACCCCCTGGCCAAGGGAGACAAGCAGTCGCCCATTGAGATCAACAGCAAGGACGTGAAGCACGACAGTTCTCTCACCTCTTGGCACGCCAGTTACGATCCCGGGGCAGCGAAAACCATCCTAAACAACGGGCGCACCTGCCGAGTCGTCTTTGATGACACTTTCGATCGATCAGGTTGGTTTTTGTTTGGCTTTTGGGGGATTATTGTAAGGAGCTGAGCAAAGAGTTGGGAATCAAAAAGCATCCTGTGGTACCTGACCTATGCAGGCTAGCAAAGAAAAGTCATTTGGGAATGTAAAGTAGTTTATTCTGGTGGATCCAGCCATTTTTAGGTCCACCATAGATGGGACAGGGAGGCTGGCGCTGCAGGGGCATTCCTAAGATTTGGACTCTGCTGGAAGGTGGACTTCTCCCCAGGTCACCTCCTTCAACACAGACACCACATCCTCAGGTTTTGTGTAGGGAGAGAGCCCTCTTCATACAAACATACCTCAGGCTGTGGCTCTGGTAGCCCAAGGGCCTGTGCAAAAGTGTTTCTCCACCAAAAGTTTGTATTTTAATAGTCAGTCATGTTTATATACAGAAGCCAATTGCAGGTATTCTGTATATAACCCCAGAGGGGTTTAGTGTGTGCTCTGAGGCACTTCGGAAACAAAAACCTCCTATATACATTTCCAGTGACAGTGATTTTGATTTCTTCTGTTTGTACAGAAATTCTTCAAATACTGCACAACCTGAAAAAGCTATGAAGATAATATTTATGAAAATAGCATTTCATAGCTTCTGGAAAGCTACGAAATAGCTTTGTAATGTCAGTGAGAGAGGGCAGCCTCGCATCTCAAAGTCAAATTGTTCAAAAACTGACTCCAGAGCTATGTCAGTGTGTAAGCTCTGAATGCAGACAGGCAACAACTATCAACATGAATAATAAATTCTCAATACCATATAATACAAAGATATCTCAAGAGCATACATTATTGATCAGTTCAAGAAGGAAAACAATCTAATTAATGGAAAACAGTTACTTTCCATTATGTTTTCCTATATCTGCTTTGGTGGCATTTGTATTGGGATTTTATTCTTAGTAAGCTTTGTAATTAATTAAATACATCTGCATTATACTGAAAGATCTCCATCTCTCTTAGCAAGAGAAACTCATTGTTTCCTTGGACTCCTGCCAATAGAGCTACCTGTTACTGTTCCACGTCTCGCAGACGGAACCTAAATTACATAGGACAGGGGCCATCTCTTTGCTATGTATTTGTATGTACTTTAGTATTTATTACAGCAGTTCATACACAATGACCTCAGACAAATCATAAATAAATTGCACTTTCGTTGCAACACAGAATCCTCTTCCACAAGCAGTTCATAAAATCGGTGCTGTGGCTGAAAGCATGGGAAGTAAATTGATTATGAACCTTTTTCACATGGTGGTTCTGCTCTGTCTTCTTTGCAGCTTCCTAAGGGCTGAGGTGTTTAGACAGAGGCTGCTCAAGACCATGTCTGCCCAGGGAACTGTTTTGGAGAAAGACCCTAATTTGGCCAAGCAGAGTACAGTCCTTCCTCTAAATTATCTTTCCTCCATTTCTTCCCTGCCTTTCCCTCCCCATCACGTCTTGTCATTCCTCTGGACATTAACTGTGCACAATCACTCCCTGCTGCTGTTACTAACTTTCTGCAGGCTGCTGGACAGTAGTTTAGGAATCAAGCCTTTCATAGGGATGTGTCTGATTGGAATCACATACAATGTTTGACAGCTGTGAAAAACCACATGAGAAAGCATTTAATAAACCTTTTTTACCTTATGTAGTGGCAACAGCTGAGGATAAGTAGTAGCCACAGACCTGATTTTAACTGGAAAAAGAAATCTAGCTTGAAGATATTGATCTAATCAAATGGAAAATTTTGAATGTTAAGATTTATTTTTATGGTGGAGGGGTCTGTATACTGTTATGAAATGCTGTTTCCAAGTGCGTCGCAGTATGATCTCTGGAAAGGGCTATCTGTAAGAAACAACTGCTACATGAGGTCCCAACTCTGTTGATTTAGCTTGTGAAAGTAATTAGATCATATAAATTCAGCTCCTGAAAGTTTCTGCTCCCCACTGATTCCAGTGTGAAATGGCAAGTAAATAATTGTGAGGATTTGGGTCTTAAGAGTCTATGTCTTATTTTTCCTACATTCACAAGTAAAACAATACATATTTTCTATTGCTGGCTTTTATACAGAAGGCTTACTTATAACCTGTATGAGTTAGTTATGATAATTTAGTTATGTACAAACTCAGAAGCTAATTGGAACTACATGCTAAAACTCAGCCATTTGTTTCTGCCCCCCAGTGGCTACGATGTCTACCAACTAAAAAGAGAAACTGCAAAATCAAACCTTTTGCTCTGTGTGTTCCAACACATATAATATCAAGAATTAATTTGAAACCACGAGGGACAAGAGGATTTAGATACTACTTCAACCTTAACTTTGAACTTCAAAGCTATTGGTAGACATTCAAACTTGAGTGCTATTTAAACAAGTTCTTCTGGCACTGCAGTTGTGAATTGCATTACCAGCTTCTGTGTAAGGGACATGTCTCATTCCTGTCTTAGGTAAGGAATGAAAAATGTATTTGAGAGATTATCCTCGAAGCAGTCCCTGCTTGAAAGAATTCCTAAACTAAAAGAGCAGGTATTAGGTTTTGAAAGTCAGAGTTGATGTCAACTGTCAGACGGATGCATGGTCAGCATTATTCGGCTATGAACAGCAGACATAATGGCTTCTTAATTTTTTTCATTATTGGCAACGTAAATGTGGACTATAGTTTTTACTTGCTCAAGAACACTTTTCTAGTTAATTTGACCTAAACTTTCTTCTCTTCCCCCAGTTTTAAGAAATAGATTTATTTTTTTAGTTTTCTGTTGTGTGGTTTTGGCTTTTTGGTTTGGTTTTGGGTTGTTGTTTTTTTTAAAGGAGCAAACTATGCTGTTTGGTTATCTGAACTGTAAAAGGTATGCCAGTCATGGACTAGAGGTATGCTTCAAAGCACCTTTGGGTTAATTTCACAGTCCTATTCCCAACCATTTCACAACAGACCATTTCTTGACAAGGATTAACCTGAATGCCTTCCGTCTCTCTCCACATCAGGAACTATAGGGTGTCCACTTGCCAAAAGAAAAGCTGCTTGTTGGGCAACGGGGGTTTGATTCTGTGTTTGGCTCACAGCAGATTTCACAGTTTCCACATTAAGCAGGACTCCTCCTGAGAGATAACAGAATTCAGCTCCTGTCTTGTAAAGGGATAAATGTTGTGATCCTTACTGCAGTTAGCTGGATTTCCAAGAGGTGCTCCACACTTTTGAAGTATGGGTCCCTGCACAGTGAATGTGTATGTCAGTGTTCTGTAGGCTAGTGCTGATGTGGATTGTCTATCACAGTGCTGAGAGGTGGGCCGCTCACAGGAGCCTACAGGCTGCGTCAGCTTCACCTGCACTGGGGTTCCTCTGATGACCATGGCTCTGAACATGTTATAGATGGGGTGAAATACGCAGCAGAGGTAGGATTTACTTTTGACAGTAGTGTTCAGTACTAACTGGAGTCTTAGTGTTTGTGCATCTGAACAGATTAACCATTCTCCCTTTTGTGAGTATTTAGCTATGGATTTTTCTCTAAAAATCCGTGAAACTTGTGAATATTCATCAGCATGCAGTGGGGTAAGTTGCATCTGCCAACAAATGTATCTTTGCAAGTATATACTAACATGGAATTTGCTTCTTCAAGCAAGAGTTTTGCTGGTATTTTAGAATGTTTTAAAAATATTTGAGGCAAAGTGATATGTTATTTCCAAATAGGAAGATCTGTTTTCTGCTGACAGCTTTTGGCTTTCAGCTATTTGTGGTATAGCTTGAATGACTAAGTTAGTTTCAGAAAGGATTGCTAAGGAATAGAAAAACTCACTAAAAGCACATTTGATAAACTGACATTCAGAATTAGATCCACCTTAAAACAGATTCAGAGTGGTAAAGAGTATCTTCCAGTTTCTGAACATCTGTGCTTTAAAATCTGTTTATTTTCAGGAACTGTGGACAATGGTTGGTTGGTTGTATTTTAATGTAAGCTACTGCACTATTGTTGTCCAAATTTGCTAAAATTGATGGTTTCTCTAGGCCCTGAAGACTTCTTGATGTTTTCATTACTGATGTTAGTGAATTACTAGCAAATGTTACCCCCTTCCTCCATCTTATTTGAGAATAAGCTCAAAACATATGCTTACTCCCACAAAAAGTCTGCAGTAGTGTTTTCCTGCCTTCCACCTCTACCCTGAATGTGTAGAGCAGGTGCGTTGCCCACCTATCATAGGAGAAAATTTAGGCATGCATTTTGCAGGGTCAGTGTGCACAAACATTGAGAGATGACTGTGAGTGATGATTTGGGGGAGAAAGGGGTTCCCATTCTTTGGCCACAGCCAAACTGTGTTAGTGTTCTACTTTCTGTGGCCAACTAAACAGACAAATTCTGCTTCCTCAAGCTATTTCTTGGTTAGTTCAAGCACAGGCTTTTTATGTTACTTTTGTTTGCAGTTCTCAGATAGGTATTGGCAGGAGAAGAAAGCCTGGAATGTATAAAATTTTGCTAGCATGCAACCAAAGGTATATGGCTGCTCCACCTTTATCTTAAGCAATGATATCCTTATCCTCAAGAGAAAAGAAACATAAATCAATACATTAATTTCTATTCAGGACAAATGATTTTGTTGTTATTTAAAATAAATATTACTATGCATTAAAAAAAAAAGGTAAAATTTGCATTCAAAAATATGCACCGTATGTTTGGATTTTGGTTTGGGTTTTTTGCATGGTGCTATGTTCCAGATGCCACTTATTTCAGATTCCACACTGCTGGTTGCAGCAGTTGTAGCTATATGCAGGAGCCAAAGATTTTTTTTAATAGATGGAGAAAGACTTTTTTTTTAATAGATGGAGAAGTAAAAGCTTGAAATATATCCTGAAATACAGCTTTGTTCAAAGTAGAAATGGGAAAGAAATGGCAGGTTACTCTATCCACTCCTTTCCAGTACAATGCGCTTGGAGTAGTAACAGATAAAAAACAATGTGTGCACTGAATACAGTCCAGTGTAAATCCTTGAGCTGATATCTGCATAACCTGAAGATCAAAAAGTCTACTGGAGATGAAGTGCATGTCAGGAGGTGGTTTATGCACTGCATGTGTGCATGCCGCGTGCTTGGGTTAAATTGTTTGTAGTTGCATTGTCTGATTAATTTTTAAATATATTGTGTGGAAAGCACAATTTTCTTCTTATGCTTCAATTAAATGCAAAGTGGTGCTTTATAGGAAATGAGAGCATATGGAAGCATGAGAACAGCAGCAGGAAATACATAAATTTTTGGTTTTCATGTCCATTTACTTACTGTGTACTGTAAACTTTTCTTAATTTAATTCAAAACCTGGTAAGATTGTGCTGTTGGCAATTTCTTGATTTAATAACTGAGGTTTCATTGATTTTTAGTTACATATGGTGCACTGGAATCCAAAACATGGTAATTTTGCTGGAGCTTTAAAACAACCTGATGGAGTGGCTGTTGTGGGCATTTTTCTGAAAGTAAGTCACAAATATTTAGTCTTTGTAATTTTCTGTATATTTCTCTCTAGTGCCAGGGAAAATTGTCCCATAATTGTTCCCTGCACTGTACCATTCTACAGGAGAACACTCAAAGTGATGTACAGACTGATGTCACATGTGCACTAACCTGTTCAGAGCCAGCTTCTGACACCATCTGTACCAGTGGCACATATCATGGGTAGTAGCGAACAAGTCACAAAACTTCAAGCCTGGGACACTTGCTAGCTTTATCCCTGATAGTTGACCAGCTCTGGAGTGTGGACTGAGGAGGACAGTCTGCATAGGAAGAGTGTTTCCTCCTGCCCTTTGTCTGCTAGCAGGTATTGTGTCTGCCTGTCAGCAAGGTTATGTAAACTGAATCCCTTACTTCACATCTTGGTGATCCTTATGTAAGCTGGGAATCAAAAAGAGTTTCACAAACCTGCTTGAAAAAAAAGGAATTCCTGGTAAAAGAAGTTAACTAAGATTTTAACCATGAAATACAACAGCTTGATAACAAAATAATGGAAAACATGTACCAGTAGTTTCAAATTGTTTTTCCTAGTATCAGATGTGCAGGTGGTTTAGGGTACTGAGAAACCCCAACAGGCACACAAACTAATAGCAGTAAGTTACGCAAACTTCAGCTATGTCACTTTATGTCAAGAGGGCATTTCAGCTTGAACAATATCAGAGAATAGCTCTCCTTATATTGTTTTATCACTAGTAAGCTGCATTTATACAAGCAATAGCAAGTGGATGTAATTAATTTTGCCACAGTGTTCCTGGACAGGGTAGATCCAATTAATTTTAATTCTGTTACACTGTGAGCAAGCCTGACCTTTTTTTCTTGTGGTTAGTTGGTCAGCACTTGTCCAGATTCTCCCTTATGATTATGTCCTTCAATTATTCTTTCTTTGTCACTTCTTCTGGTCTTTTTTAGGCTAAAGCTTTTATCTTGAAAAACACAAGAGTAACGCTATCTTCCTATTAATCATGCTAAGGTCAGCTAAAAGGTCTAGAAAAGTACATGGTATCAGTGTATCTTGTCTGGCTTTCTTTCCTTGTTTCCTTCTTGCCCTTTAGTGTAGGGGCTGTTTTGCTCTGGGTTTGTCATGTTCTCCAACTGCTTTTTTGGGTATTGCTAAAACAGAGATAGAACTATCTCCTGAAGAACTGAATTTAATCTATTTTGGAGCAAGACATGGCAATAACAGCATGTCTTAACGCATACTGTCTACTCATCTTGGATGCAGAACCACGTCAGAGTTTTCGGAGGTGCTGAATTTCATGAACACAAACAATAAAGTGACCCCATAGCTTGAGGAGGTCATGACATGAATCTCATCGTGTCTGACACGAAGTCTGATCTGACTGCATATATGCTGTAGAGTGTTTGAAGTGCCTGCAAGAACTCAGCTCGTCAGATTATCAACACTTTGCAGAGTGCTCATATATCTCACACTGGTTGTGGGTTGCTTTCAAACCAGGAGCCAAGAGCCAGGCCTCGGGTGATGTAGCTGACACTTGTCTGACCACGCAGTTTGCTCCCCAGACAGTGCGAGGTGCCTTGTAGAGTCCTTCAACACATTCTTGAATTGCAAAGCCAGTTACTTGAGTCTGCTATTCTGGATGTGCTTTTAACACACATAATTTTGTGTCTGTCTGTACCGGATGTTCTGCAAGTACTGCTGCTAACCTGACAGATGGGATGTACTGAATTTCTTTCAAACACTGTGGAACATGATAAAAAATGCAGTACTTGTGCTTTGCATTGCAGGTTGGAAATACTCCCAAACCAGAGATGAAGAGAATTCTTGAAGAAATTGATAACATTAAGACCAAGGTATCAAAACAATTTCTGTGATATAATGTAGTTGAAAAGCAGCACAAGCAGAAATCAGAAGTTCAGATTAAATTCTTGTCATCATTCTCATACCTAACAGTAGCACGAGAGGTGATACATTGAACTGTGGAGCAGGAAACTTTCTTTTACTTTAGTAAACACGTAACTCCTCACTTCTGTAAGTATTCTTGTTGTAAAGGATTTTCTACCAATCTTTGCACAATTTGTAATCTTATTGATACTGCTCTGTAAAAAATATGTCAGTGATCAAATATCAGGAATAAATGAAAAGATCTTTTTAATATGACAGCAGTGGCCAAAGCAAATGCATAATCGAGTCAGAAATTTAGTTGGCCTGAAATGAGAAGAAACTAGTAGGAATGATGGAGCAAGCTCCTGCTCAATGTAAGGGAGATTAAAAACTTTATTAGTTTTAACATGGAACTGAATTCAGTTATAAAGGATTACACAGTACAGTTTCTACAGGAGCCCTAGGTTCTCTCTTCCTTTGTTTGTGCTGTCATACCAGCACAAACACTATTGCAAACCTATTCTAAACTGGTTTTCAGCTTAGTTAATTATCTAAGACCACAGTCCATACCTATTGCATAGACACAACTGCAGAAGGGACTTCTTTGCAGAGAATTGTGATACTGCATCTGTTGTTACTTAACATGGCAGGGGAGTTGGAACTAAGTGATGTCAAAAGTCCCTTCCAACCCAAACCATTCTGTGGTTCTGATTATTATTTAACATAAACCTAACTTCTAGGTATACTTAAGCAATTCTACTTCATGATAAGTTTTATGATTTTAATGATGCTAAAAGTCCCTTTTTTACATAACATTGAACATACCACCAGATCATCAGAACTGAATTTTAGAAATTTTGTAAGTATTTTCTTACATATTTAGCAGAATTTCTTGCATTTAATTTATGTATGTATGTACTGCCACTGATACACAGGTCTAAGCCTGAAGTCTGTTCTCTCGTCACTCAGTCATATTCATTTTATTTTTCAGCCTTTTCTTAGTCTTCAGATACAATTCAGTTCTTTCTACTGATGGAACCGAAGGTCATTTTTTATTCTCTACCCACTGCTTCCCCTGCTGTGTCAATAATACCTGTCTTGATTCAGATGCTGCTTTCTCTCATGATCCCTCTATAATTTTTTGTCCATTTACTTACAAAAGAGCTTTGCCATGGTTAGTAAAGTTGATCAGTCACCCTGTGGAACACTGTGTCATACAGTGATGACAAGATATACTCCATTACATTGTATCTGAGACTGCCTCACTGGAGATTTCGTGATTTTTATTAGCAAAAAAATAGAAGTCTCATTTCCTACATACAGATATCATCTGTAGTGGTTCTTGGAAAAGGAACAGTTAAAGAAAAGTACATGTGCAAACAGCCACATCTTGTGTTTCATTTCTAATACTTATTTTCTTTCCTATCATCACATATATTTTACCAAGATTACCTATTTTTCAGGAAAGAGTAATAGATGGTATCACTGGTATATTTATTGCACGTGCAGTTTCAACTGCTGTGATGCATTACAGGCTGAGTAGTTTCTTGGACGCTACTTACTGAAAAAGCGTAATTTTGCAAAGTTACTTGCAAACTTATTGAACTTGCATGATTATTTTTCCAGGAAGATACATTTTGAGTCTTGAGGTTATTCTTCCTACCCATGTTTTGTGAAAGGATGTGTGGGAAAGATTTCAGAGCCTCCCACTGCGTTTTCTAGAGTAATAACTCTGTTCCCATCTAGAAAAGATACTCCATGTTAGGAGAAGGAATTAGGAACAATATATTTTGCATTCCAGAACTGCATCCTAAATACCAGTAGAAAAGTGAACTTTCTTGTTTAGTTCTTGTTGCCATGGGAGGATAAGGAAGTCTCATCACAGTCTTGTGGAGATAATCTTGTGGAGTATCCTATCGGATGGAAAAGAAAAACTTCTCAGGATATATTGTCTGCTGTCTGATGTTCTCCCTTGCCTGGTGATAATCACATTTAGTTGTGAGATATTCAGGATCCAGTACTCTTCCAGGAACTAGCTTATTTTTTCACATGAAGTGTAACAGTATCAACAAAAAGATTGAGAATATCACTAAGACATTGTAATTACAATGTAAAAATAGAGAAGACTAACGAATCTGGGCTAAATGCCTGGCCACTGTTCTATCAGATAAAAAGTGTGTGGGTACCCACAGCCACAGCCTTGAACTTTTATCGCAACTGACCCAAAATAAAATAAAAATTTGATAATTTGAACAGAAAAAGGTAACTGTGAATTTGCTTTGGTCCCACACAATTCAGTTTGTTCTACTTTATTAATGGAAACAAAATGTCAGCTGTTATTAATTACAGGGCAAATGCTTGACAGTAAGAAAAGGAGATTGATCTCTTGCATGAATCTTGGTATTTAATTACTTCCTTTATAATAACATAGATACTGATGTCTTTTTAAGATGCATATCCCTAGAGTTACTGCAAAGAGTTATGTCTTGTTTCTCTAAGGGGAAAGAGGCTCCTTTTCAGCACTTTGATCCTTCAATTCTTTTCCCCAAATCTCGGGACTACTGGACCTACCACGGTTCTTTCACAACACCCCCCTGTGAGGAGTGCATCACTTGGATTCTCTTGAAGGAGCCAATTGAAGTCAGCGCAGATCAGGTAAACTCCAGCTAGTTTTGCTACTCCTTTACCAGTTCTCACCAGTGTCTCAGTATGTCAGGGGGATGATTTGCAATCCCTGTGTTTCCTTGTATTTTCTAACGAGGAAAGCTTTATTTGAGCACTGTGAGAAATTTACTGCAGAATAGACTGTTGAAATTGGCTGACCTTGAGAATCAGGGTCCCTTCTTAGACACCTCCTGCAATAGCTTCAACAGCAGTGTTCTTGGGATCCTGAAAACCTTCGGAAGTGTCCCTGAGCCACAAAATTCAGCCATCATAGCAGCCTCAGTTCATTCTCTGTGTTTCAGCATTACGTGGAGAGACTGACATTTAGCTGGTTTCCCAGTTTAAGAAGTTGCTGGTCCACATCTTGACTTCATAAAACCTGTCAGAAGGATCAGACTAGCTAGAACCTGCAAACCTGAATGTTACTACAAATCAGTGGACTAATTGTATTAATATAATGTTCATTTAGACAGGAGAAAGAATAGAGAGCCAGTCTGGGTAAGGTGACCTTCTTTTTAATTCTTGCATTAAGACTTTTGGTTATTTATAGTATTTTCTGGTTCAGCAATACAAGCCAGGGTATAGCCTTTTTCCTGATTTGGCTGGTTTTTGAACAGATTTATTTTGCATTCTGATGAAAGAGTAACAATTAACAAAGTAACACTGAATTTAAATTAATTTGGAGAACAATGTCTAAATGCTGAATTCATGATTCAACTTAGTAATCCTGTTGGCCTATGTTTCTCTGCCGTACAGAACAAAATAGGAACTTCTGCAAACCAGCTTTTTTCTCTACTTGCATAGACTTGGCTGGCCATATTTTCAGAAGTGGTTTAACTACAGTCCAGCTCCAGCAGGGTCATCGTCTTGATCTTCATCAAAAAGAGTAAAGCCCTTTACTCTTCTTCCACATTCTGAGTGTCAATCCACAAATCCAAAAGAAGTCCAGGCAAGGGTAGTGCAGTGTTCTGTGGATGAAGAATGTAAAGATCCACAGAAATAGTGCTAGCTGTTGGGCTGCAGTGATTTCTACCAACAGTCTCTACCACTATGCTTGACATTACATAAGAAAACTCCTCTTCTGTCGTTTTCTGTTTGTTCTAAGCATCAAGGTCGACACTACTTCCAGGTGAATTCACATGGATGCTTTACTTTTTCTTCTTGCAGATGGCAAAGCTCCGTAGCCTTTCCAAGAATCCTGAGAACGAGCCTGTGAACCCACTAGTTGATAACTGGCGCCCACCTCAGCCTGTGAAGGGCAGGATAGTGAGAGCCTCATTCAAGTGAAGTCTCAAGGCTCACTCTGTTCAACCTGAGTGGGAAAACCCCTGCATCCCAAAGTGTAGTTAGTTTTTGCTGTCTACTGCTTTTCCTCTGGATCCAGATCTGTTTCTCAGCTTGAAATCCTGAGTGGTAAAACTGAATCTGATTTTTGAAAGCAGAAAAAAATACTGTATGCAAATGCTAACCTTAATAAGGAAGTGCAAGATATAAGTGATTCTTAACCACAAATGCTGAGTTATTTGTGATGGTGTCACTTCTCTGCCATGTGGTCTTGGAAGAACAATGGGCTCAGTTTCAATATCTAAAATTAACTTCAAAGGAAATGTAGTAAAGGCAGAAAAATGAACCAGTAGTTCAGAAAAGCAGAAATAACAGTGAATGAAAAGGAGGAAAAATACTTGCTTTTAAAGCATCTCTAGTAGCGATATCCCACCTCTAGTGCAAACATCCAAAGGGTAATTTCCTCTTGAACATACCAGATTTCTCCTTCCCTCTCCTGTTCACAGTTTGCTATCCATGATTACATTAGTATTCTGATACAATCAGGCATATTCAGCTTCTGTGTGTGAAGAAAAGATACCTTGCTGTCATTTCAGCATTTACTGTCTGTCATGTCCTGCTGCTGCCCATTGATCTTTTCTTCTTTCACTGTTGCTGTTACTCCACTCATCCATCTGTAGACTGCTGCTGGTGTCTTGGTGCCTTGTGTTCAGTTACACCTTTAGTATTGCTGAGTGGAAAGTGGCTTTTTTCTGATGCTCTGTGTTACCTCCCAGGAAGATGGATTTTTAGTTTTGATGCTGTACCTGTTTATTTTTGACATCTTGGGATGTATATTAATGATTTCACCTATTAGGGACTTTATTGCGTATGGAAAGGGTCTTTGTGGGTGACTCACATTTCATCTGTCTTCCCCAGTACTGAAAAATCAAGGTTAACTCACCTCAGTGTTTGTTTATTGTGACTGTAGTTAGAGACTCATAAGTGAAGTCTCTTAACTTTCTGGGGAGACCCATCAGCTTTTATATACGATCTGAGCAAGGAATCAATCACTGTCAGACAGAAACTTCTAAATCATCTTCCCTTGTCCTTCATCATGTAAACTTTATCACTGCAGCATGCTTCCTAAACAGCATAGCACAAATACCATCTAGTTTGAACCCATGTGCAGACTATGTGAGTAAAGATCTGTTACATTATATCAGGGTTATTATTTGGTATTATACATATGGGAGATTGGGTGGCCAAAGCCGGTGCACAAAGAATCCTGCAAATGAAGCTCTGGGATTCTGTGTATTCCTCTGGCTCATCAGGTGGTAGCAAAGTGGAGTCTTTGTTAGATGTTGCCACAAACATGTTCATAGCAATGTTTTTAAGGGATATGTCAAAGTCTGAAAAAAGCAGGGTTACAAATTACTAAGTGGGCGTTTTCCAGTTCTCCTTCAGTATTGCACTTTGCATCATTACTAGAAAAATGGTGCTCCCAAAAGGAAGTACTGAATGGGTAACATGAGGGAAATTTTGCTGCGATTGCCAGCACAATTCAGTGAGAATTCAGGAATGAAACTGAGAGCAGTGTTTGATCTTTTCTATTCTTGTATACATGTTCAAGACCAGGTTGGATGAGGCCTTGGGTGATACGGTTTAGTGGCAGGGGGGTTGGAACTAGATGATCTTAAGGTCCTTTCCAACCCTAACTATTCTATGTTCAAAAAATTGCTTAATTACCACAGAGAGATATTATTTCAGTTTATTAGAAGTGCGTTTTACTCAGTATAAAGCAGTTTCATTTTAAAAATGAAGTTTGTGTCATCGAGAACTATTTATTGAATCCTTTCTGCATATATTTTGGCATTGGCTTAATCTTATCAGAAGATCAGCTTTTGATATTGCAAGTGCACCACTTGCAACAGTATTGATTTTAAGAGTCTCTTAGATCTTCTTTAAACTCCCAAATCTGTACATCTTCTTAACACATAAATATGTTCCTACAGAAAGCTCATGAGCAAGTTTTTCTACTTAACTAAAGTTTCTTCTGGTAGCCATATGCAGTTGATCTTGAGAAAATTTCAACACAAATAACTGAGACAAAAGTTTGAGCCTTTCTACCTAACTGGCTGTGATGTTTTAATCTCTTGTTATTGGGGCAATAAAACAAGATAACAGCTTTTAAAATAACACCTTTTTTGTCTTCAGATAATCAATAAATTTACTTATATAAAAATTTATTTCTGGTTTTATTTCTGATGCTGAATGATGATTAAAAGTAAGAATTTAGTAGAAATTTTTTTGATACATATGCTTGTAATACAAGATTGGACAGGCACACTTTTACCTGTTGAAGTTTAGTTTAATGTCTTACCCTGGATATTGCATGTCAAAAATATGAGACATCAGAACAGTATCACTTGTTGTCTCTTTTCAGGTACAAAAAAAAAAAGTGTTTATTTCTTGCCTGAACGCAAGTATTCTCTTACATCTTCCCCAAATTCATACATTCATGTCTGATCATGAAAACCACTCACTTGTATATGTATTTCTGTTTCTTGCAAGAAGCACATGGATCAATTAGTTGAAGTGTTGTATTATTCTGAAATTTCCTGGTTAATACATACTTTTTAAGCAGACAAAATAAACTTGTTAAAGTGAAATGATACCTTATTTGTTCACAAAATCAAATACTGAGTGTGCTTTGCTTTATTTGCATGGTTTCTCTACTGTCTTTGAAAGGCAGAATAGGCAGAAGTTTATTAACTACTCACGTAGTAGTTTTGGTTTCAGCAGGAAACACATGCTTTGTATGTTGGCACAAAGCAATACAGTCTGAAATTTATATTCTCTCATGCATTTGCTCTGGATCCATTCTGTCTTCAAACTATAACCACAGAAAAAACCATCAACCTCATTGTAAATACGCTTTACACTTCCTCGCTTGAAGAATAAAGCATACATGGATTTGTTCCATTGCCTTTCTGTCTTTGATGAATAGTGTAGCTCAGTATTGATTACCTTAGTAAGAAACTGAGAATATGTCATGTGGACTCTAATCCTGCTGCTTCGTCTATCTTAGAGAGAGGGAGAGACAGAAAGCCTGTAAATTTTGTATTAACTTAAAACACAGAAACAGACTTGAATACAGATGGAGACCTCGTGGTATTGCTAGGAAAATAAACACCAAGAGTGTGAAAGTTTTAGCCTTTTATATTTGGACTAGGCAGCTTAATACTTAAAAGGATGTGTAGAATCCACTTAATCCTGTACGTAACAAATGCCAGATTTACTTATCAATTAATCATGAATCTAACAGGAGGTAATGTGTGATACAATTGTAGTTTGGATTTCAGTGCAAGAGGCATGCTTGTCCTTGAAATGAATCTAGCATTGATTATTGCAAGTTTCATCCATTCTAATTAAAAGAGGAGCAGATAAAACTGCATTTCCAAAGCTTTTAATTTTAAAAAGGAAATAATTCAGTATTTGTGTGAATACAAATAAAATGAACTTAAAAGTCAAAGGAGCTGTCTCTGCTTCAGAAAAATTAAAAGATTGGCATAATAAATTGCAACTCATCTGTTAAGAACTCTGTTTAACAAGATCTCCCTGGAGATGGCCGCCTGCTTTTCCAGGAAAATCTAACAGGATGGAAATGATGATGCCATCAGGTATGCAGAAGTGGCTGCACTACTGAACCATACCTGGGCTTAGCAAAAGCAGGAGCACTTACACAGAATGTTATCTGTACACCTGGGAATTCTAAAGTCTCACTACTGTGCCAGTAATTCTCCAAGCCCATTAATTCATGCTTTTGCACTTCTATCATGTCATCAGTAGGCAGAACATGCAGTAGGTGTTAGGAAAAAATAAGCCTTTGGTGAATTTGAGTTGCACACTGTCACACTCCTACTAATATCTTGAAGAAGATCTGTCAGGAAACTGCTGAAGAACTCAAAATGCCTTACTGGAGTTAAACCAACTTCCTCAGTGGGCTAGATCAGGGAGACCATAGGCCAGTTCTCTCAGGGCAGTATAGTGGCAACAATAAAGCTTTACTAGACTAAGGGTTTTTTTTCCAATTTCTCCCAGATATTTTTTTTCCCTTACATTCCCACTATTAACCCTACCTTTATCCCATAGTGCAAACAAGTGAATGTCCAGTGCTTCTTGATGGCCTTTTCATGTTCATTTCCCGTAGCCCACACGGTGGAGCCAGTTCCTCAACGTTCACGTTTCTGTCACCACTTGCAGCTACCTGGAGGCCTGAGCTGCCACACAGAGAGGATTCCTCTAGCCTGCAGGAGTAATTAAATAAGCATTGAAACAAATCCAGTTTATCCAAGTTACTCTTAAGCTATGAGATCCTGTGTTTAAATATACGTGGATAGTAGCAGACTAATACCCATCTCCATCTAGAAAGCTTTTGTATTTTGCCTGCATGTTTACTCATGCAAAGTCTGTGTATATAATAAGTACTTTTGCTTCTGTAGGTTAAAAAAAGTCTGGCTAATTCCATTCCTAAAGTCCCAAAGAATCCTTTTGCACAGTAAGAGGAACTAAAGATGAAAATTCCCCAGTGATATGCACCAAATTGGTTGCTGATTTGAGCAATCATGAGACCAGGACTGCAGGACATGTTGTCCTGAATACTAGCAATAGCCTGTCAGACTAGCTTTTTCAGTCTACATATTCCTTTTGTCTCTGCACATGATGTCTCAATCATCCTTCATGTTTATAATAATTTCTCCACTGAATTAAAAACCAAAGGCATTTCTATTAAAGTTCACTTCGTTCAGAGAACATTGATTCTTTTTTTTTTTTCTTAACACTGCAGGCTACCAACCATTAAACCCTAATTTAAGAGCTCCCACAGTGTTGTGCATTGTCTGTGTAATAAATCTCTGTTGGAGAAAGAGTATAATCAAGGAGTAATAATTTTTCTTGTCAGGCATGACTGAGCAGCGGATGGCATCAGTGTCTGCAACATACCTAAATTTATAGCTAAACAAACATTACTGGCCCTTGAATAAACAGACGAAAGTTGATTCATTGCCCAACAGTGTGTAAGACCTATAACTGAAACACTGATTTCATTGTCTCTTTTAGGAAAGGCAGGGGATACAAGTTTAGAAACAATACTTTCCATGCCTAATGTCTCAGAGCACTTTGCTGTAACTTCCACCACCAAAAAAGTCTGTAAAAGGCATGGAGTCAGCTCAGTCCAAATAAAAGTTGAGGATATGAAACATGTCTTCTGCTTTTAAAGTAGCAATTGTGCTAGGAGCTACTATGGTACAGTATTAATTAACAACAAAAATAATTATGTTCTTATACTAGTGTCCATCTTCAGACTACTTCAATGCCACTGTAAGTCCCATAAAACAGCTTAAACATTCCCAACCAGAATTCCTGTATGTGCTTCCCACAGCCTTAAAAACCAAAAATCAAAATAATAATATTTGCTGTGTATACAGGTATCTATTTCCTCCTCCCTTAGAGGTGATGGGGAGTGAAGGTCTAACACAGAGAATCTTGCCTGTCCAGCTTCTCGCTGGACTCTCAATTGTGACTTCTTACGCAGGGATATGAACCGAGTTACACTGAGTTGTGCTTTCTATTGTTTTATATTCCATTCAGTCTGAACTTTTAATGGTTAATATTTCCTAGTACAAAATTGTGTCAGTTACATTTAATAGAATTTAGTACTGCCAGTAAATAGTCATTTTTTGGAAACCTGACAAAATCTGCTGCTCCTGCTACTTTGCTGAGCTTGTCTGTCCTTACTACTCTCTGTCATCTATGCAGGACGCACAGTGTTCACTTGGCACAAGATCTGACTGAAGGGTTAACCATTTTTAAATAGGTTTCTGGTATTCGCTTGCTCTGTAATTAAATGCTGAACAAAAAGCAGCACTACCTTAGAGCTCTCTATTTTATTTTAATTTTTCTTGTTGCATTGAAATGTCTTTCATGAAGTCCCATGATTCAGAAAAGATTTCCCTGGAACAGCTTCACAGAAGCATCTACGCAACACTGCATAGAACCATATAATTTCAAGTTAAACAGTGATCCATTTCTTAATACTTGCATTTGTATCTTCATATTCCAGGTTTGTAAGGTCCAGTTTATAACACACCTGTTCAAGTGAGTAGCCTCTTCACTTGGCAGTATTTACTGTGACTGAGCTGTTGAATGAAAGATCCTCTAGAACTTGCCTGGACAAATATAATGAACTTAAGGGCACATAGTTCCATGTCAGCAAGAGAGCTCAAGAACACCTTTTTGTGCAGGAAAAAGGAGTAGATGAATTCTGTTTATGCATGCATAGAGAAAACTTCATGACTGATAAATAAGCATCATAGCAATGCATGCTTATAACTGCTCAGAAAACAAGCTGTTGAACATTTCCTTGCCTCAGCTTCTGACTCACTGTCTAGTCTGTCTGATGCACAAAAAATGCCATGCTTTGCTAGTTGGAACTGGTGGAGAGAATATGTGAGGACATTCACTTAAATTAGAATGGAGAAAGCTTTCCCATCTACTCCTTGTTGCTGGGAATCTCTGCATAATCAATCTATCCTGTTAGTATTTGTTGGAATTTATGATCTGATTCTATT